CTCTTGAATGAATGTTTGCTTGTCTGATATGTTGTAACTTGTAAGTCAATTGCTTGTGTCTGGGTATTAACACACTGCTGCTGCCATGGTTCTGTGTCTTGAGAGTGGCTAGACCTGTAAATAGCTGTAGGCGCAGGGACTGAAATCTGGCGAGACTCGTCAGTCTGGGATGCTCAGGTGCAGGTAGGAAAGCTGGCAGGTACCTGGCAGGGATTTTCTAGCAGGTTGGCGAGGCCTGGTGTATGGTAGGCTAGATGCAGATATTGCGTTTTACTGGGCTGGAAATACACTAGGTTGAGGGCTTAGTTAGGACTAGTCCCATCCTGGGTGGTCTCAGTAGCACTCGAGTAGAGGAGAACTGCCGTTGTACTCGTGAGTCGATAAGGTATACCAGTGAATGTGTCGTCTCGTCTTTCAACAATAGCCGACAGTCATGCTGGTGATTGGCTATGAGAGAGATCAGCCAGAACATGAGGGAGATGCAGGAGGAACTTAGGATGAAGAAGAACACCTCCATGGCTAAGGAGGTGAAGGGCTAGAAGAGTAGTTTGGCTATGGTGGAGTAGAGGATATCCCACATTGTGGTATGGAGGCAAGTGGGTGACTTCTGTAGGTAGAAAGGAGGAAGAAGGAGGGAATTGACGTGAAGACTTCCCTTTCGGCTATGGGGGAGCCTCATCTTCACTTCCTTGGTGGGCAGTGCATCAAGAAGGTCCTTTTAGGGCTCTGGCTGGAAGGAGACTTCATCCAAGAGTGAGGCAATGAGGTGTAAGCACAGGGGAGACAAGTATTAGGTGTGTTGTACTGATCCATAACTGGTGGTCATCCGAGGCGGGGCGAAGTCCAGAGATCACCAACATGAGGAAGAGATGTAATGTGACACACACAGACGAAGACTCAAATCTGATAAGACCAACGAGACAATGCAGCAAAATGATCAGATATCACGCCAGCTGGAGAAGGTCCCCAAACACAGAAGAGACCTCTCCGTTGAAATCATACGCAGAGGAAGTGCAATGTGTGGCATGCATGGCCTTCCACACGGGCCCTAAGGGGTCCGATTGTGGTTCAGGGGCCCGAGGGCCTTGTGGCCCACATTTTGGCGGTCCCTAGGACCGTGCTTCTTTTACTGGGCTTCTGTTCCTTCTGTTTTTTCATGCAGCAATCCAGCAGCATGTCATATTCTTTTTCTGTCCTGTTCTTTTTTCTGGGTTCTGCCTCGGTTCTCAGATTTTTTTCTGGTCGTTGTTTTTGTCTGGTCTGGGACACTGTCGTTTCGGATTTCTTTGTCCAAACAGGCATAAGTGCCTGTTGGGACCACTGGTAGGCTGGTTCACATGGTTTTGGCCACCTGAGACCTGTGAAACTGTTGCCCGCATTAGTACTGGGCCTTTGTTAGCCTGCTAGTGCCTGGTCCACTTCGCAGTATGTTCTGGACCAGCCTGCTGATGCAACAGGACGTCCTGGACATCCGATTGGGACCCGGGTTGACCATTTCTTTGGCCTGGTCCGCTGGATCAGGAATTTGCCCATCCCCCTGGGCCTTTGATCAGATGTGATCCAACAGACCGGGAGGGCTACCGGGTGATGCAATGAGAGGCCCAGTGGCATATAGCTGGGTCCAGCCACCAGTTCGACAGTGTGTTAGCACACATTTGGTGAAAGGCTGCTGCAGAACAGCAGTGTGCGTTAAGTTCTTCAGAAACTCGGCGACTATTTCAGGGAGACCGCGCCCAGGTTCAGTCTTGAGAAGACTTGACATTGTAGCTGGAAACGATTGTGGGATTGGAGAGAGATCATTATCATTTTGACTGTTTTGCGATTGGATCATTGCTCCTTTTTCTTTCCTCCTTCCCTACCCTGATCATCTCTGGTTATCACTCCCCACGAATGTGCTGCACAAGCAGGGATCTTTCTTCCACGTATGCCCCCTCCTTTCTTCTCTGAAAGGTGATGATGACTGCATTGTCTGAGTTCCAAGTCTTATGAGATAGATCACTTGTTCGCAGTCTGCCGCTACATTGCATTTGTGTTGCTTCTCGCTTCAATGATTTTTTATCTTGCGCCATGTCTATCTGCTGATGGGCAAGCGGCAGTTTGGTATCAGAGTGGACAAACAGGAGAAGCTGCTCATCTGCAATAGCACCAATGGATGGATTGGATGGATTGGATGGATTGGATGGAGTGTGTGCGGTATCCAGGGGATGGCTGTATGGGGACTCAGAAAAAAATGAGCGGTATCCAGGGGATGGCTGTATGGGGACTCGGAAAAAAATGAGTGGTTGCTGCATCCGAGAAGAAAAGGAAAGCACAACACAAAACACAATTCGTTATATGGACTTCGTTTCTATTCTGGGTGCATGGCATGAAAAAGAGAGAGGCAGACTGCAGCTAACAGCCTGAACAGGAAGAGCTACTGACATACCATAGGGGAAGAGAGCCAGTAATGAGAGATATGAGAGTGGAAGAGGAAGACAGAGCTGACTCATGGACAGCTAAGCCACACATCAATGCTCTGAAAAGCTGGCAGATACTGCATTAATCTTGAAAAACGAAACTTCGTATGCCCCACCATCCCTTGCGCGTATCATCCCTCCATGTACACCGTCCATTGCTCAGTTCTTCCTATCTGACACAAAAGCGGCAGCGCAGAGTCCCTCTACGCGCTCATCCGCTTGCATGGCGGAAACTCCTCAGGAGGGCAGAGTCGCATGAGTCCTATTTTTGAAAGAGGCTAGTGCCTTGCCTCTTGTGAATCCTTATATCCTCGCCGGTGGCTGCAAGAGCTCCCAATAGAGCATTACTTGCCATTTCCGGAAACACGAAGTCACTGGAACAACGTCGTCAAACACAGCCCTTGTCATCCAAAGTTTGTTGTGAAAGTACTTGTCCATTGCGTCGTCATTGATACGAAGGTCACCCCACGTCCCTCCGTTTCTGCTTCATTACCCAATGTGGGGAGTCTCCCTCAGTAACACCCCCAACAAAATAGCAGAAGACAACAGTAACAGGGCGGAGTTTGTGTGACATGTGTCGACCACCTGCAAAGTGCATGCCTGCCGCGAGCGTAGACACCTGCTCCTCCTCCACCTCCTCCCCCCTCTATAGTCAACATCCCATGTACGAGGACGAACTCGTGGCCAAGCCACACACTCAGAAAAAAATAAGAACACATAGCCAAAGTTCGGCACACCATGGCCCCTGCCATGTCCAGGCGGTACTATTTGGGCCGGGTAGTATCATTTGAGGTGGTTGATTCCATACGGCCTGAGCAGAGCCATGCAGGGAGGGTCATACTACACAGACTGGACGGTACTAACACACACGGCCACACACACACACACACACACACACACAATCAACGTGGGCAGCCTTGTGCGTAAGAGGCACAGTAAAAGGGGAGCTGCAAGAACAATGAAAGGGGTACCCCAAGGACAACCAAAAAACTGTCTAATTATAAAATTGCTTTAATATGTTGGACATCTCAAATGCTCTCATTGTCTGCAATAGGACAAAGACTGCTTTGATTCTGAATCTATTCACCTGGGTGGAATTGGGGCTGTTGTGGGGAAAATATAAAACACACACACACACACACACACACACACACACACACACACACACACACACACACACACGTCCGGTCTGCAGGAGTGGTCACCTACCATAGGCAACAGCTACCATAAGCAACAGCTACTCCTCATCCTGCAACCCGAACACTGATTGACGTCTCGTGTCATTCTACAGTCGTCTGCTCCAACGGTCTGTATAGAGTCTCTCTCTCTCTCTCTCTCTCTCTCTCTCTCTCTCTCTCTCTCTCTCTCTCNCTACTAGTAAATGCATACGAATGAGCGTCGTTGAGAGAAACCGACAAAATATAATTACCCGCTTTCTCTGCCTCTTTTTATAACGTGCAAGTGGGCCGTAAAGGCACACGGGGATGTGGGAAGCTGGCGCTCAACCATCATCAACGTGACCAGCCTTGTACGTGATAGGCACAGTAAGAAGGTAACTACAAAAACAAAGAAAATGGGAGGCCTCCCAACGCTAGCTGATGAAAATATAATCAAGAAAACGATATAACAAATTTATTGTGTCTCGTATTGTTTTACTGCTTGGTTGGCCCATCTCAAGTGTGTTGCATTGCTTGTGTAAAGGTGAGATTCCTTGCTTGTTTAAAGGTAAGGTTCTGAATAAATATTGACTTCACAACATAGCTACGCCGGACCGGACACCGGACCGAATCCGGACCCCGGGCCCCGGACCTCCCGGGGTCTTCCGGAATTCCGGTTTATCCGGACCGGTCCGGATCCACTGTCCGGATGCCTGTCCGGATGCAGTATATTTTCCGGGAAAAAAAAAAAAAAAAAAAAAAAAAAAACAGTATACATGCTTCGAACTTAGAAGTTGAATTAACTTAACATTGAACTTTGAAGTTTGAACAGAACCGACAGCTTCTAGACCGCCGCTGTCCCCTAAGTGATTGAAAGTCATTCATGATTCACGATTCATGAATGACCACCCCAAAAACGGCAGTCCACTCTCTCTCTCTCTCTCTCTCTCTCTCTCTCTCTCGTCTCTAATGACTCTCTATGACCCCCTCCGCTTTTTTTCAGCCAATGACAGCTCATCATCGCTTGATGGGTAGTCTGATGAGCCTTCCTCTTCACCATCACGCGGCCTCTTCCTTGCCATGCCCTGGTCGCTGCTTGGCAAACCCTCATCATTGCCCCCCTCTACTTCGTTCTTATCAGTTATCTGCGTAGGGTTGTCCTCTCCCTCCGCAGTCACAGCATGTGACCCGTCCAGATCCGTCAATGGGTTTTTTCTTGGCCTGCCTCTAGTTTTTTTTAGGCGTTGAGGATCAGGCTGTGCCGACGATGTCCCGGTCTCGTTTTGTGGTGCTGTCGTTGCAGCACCATGAGGCAGTGTGTCACCGCCTCCCTTCTTGTGAGCACGCATGTGCTCCTCCGTTCCCAAGGTGCGTGCCTTCCTTCGCACATCTGTTTGGGAACATTCAATTAGGAAGTTGCCTGCCTTCATCAATCCACGCCAATCCCCGTGTTGACCCTCCTCAATCTCCTCCAGGTTGCATTCTTCACGGCATGGAACAGCAGCTTCATCCCCATCTTCATCATCCCCGGCATCAGCTGGTGGAACAACATTGTCACCAGCTGAGGTAAGGCTCTTCAATCGCCGCTCAGCCACCTTCACTCTTTCTTTGGCCTCCTTTTGCTCCTCCTCTGTCAGTGGGTCATCCCATTCAATAAGGTCTTTGGCCCTCTCCGGCATCTGCTGCAGCATGTCAAGCAGCCGCATGTTCCACTTGCTGTACACCAGTTTGTGCATTGTCTCCGGGGCCAGGCCATCGCGCTCTTTGGTGTGAATTGCTGCGAAAAGGCTCCAATTCCTTTCGCAGCCTGAAGCAGACGACCCTTGCCCCAACAGTCAAATGGCATGGGGCTGCAAGTGTTGTAGCTCATTGCACCAGCGCTTCCACCATGCCGCTAGGTTCTGCTTACGGGCTGCATCCATAGCCACCTGCGAGCTGAACTTGCCAATGTTCTGAACCCAACAATCGACTTCATACTCCACCTGGTCGCACACCTCCTGTGACGCCCCTTTGAGCCATGTGTACACCCAGGTGTAGAATCCATCTTGGATCTCTGCATCCTTGTGCGGCTCAGACGACCTGTACTCTGGATCCAGGAACAGGGTTGCACAATGGAGGGGGGTGGTCATGGCATTCCATCTGCGCATGACCATCACCTCGATCTCGTCCCGCTGATCCACTGTCAGACCCTTGCTAACTCGCAGGCGCTCCACTATCCTGTCCATCTTCGCATAAACCTTGCTGATGGTCGGACCGTTGCCATCCACCAGTTTCAGCAACAAAACAATGTCGTAAACGACATTGATTGCCTTGTTCACAAGATCCCAAAAGCCTGCTGCATCGAGTATGACGTCTTCCATCTCGTGGAGGGTCGAGCGCTGCGCATGGGGGACCAACGTCGCTGTCCACATGTCGTCTGTGACCATAGCCACCAACGCTTTTCGCTGCTTCTTCAAGCGGTCCAGCATGTGAAAGTTGGTGGCGAAACGCGTTGCCGCTGGTCGCAGTAACTGCCTTCCACCTGCATGGATGTAGTAAACATCCCTGACTCGCTGGTGGTTCATGACGAACTTCACCATGTCATTCGCCTTCGTCACCGTTTCAGCCACGCACTCTATCTTCCCAATATCGTGCAGCATCAAGTCGAGGCAGTGCACAGTGCATGGCACGTGGAAGGTTAGTGGGAATGTATCCTCCGCCAATCTGCCAACTCTCGCGCACACAGCAGCGTTGTCCATGATCACTCCGACGACACTCTTCTCGCCAACTTCGTGAATCGACTCAGGTAAGATGTCGAAGTACGCTGCTGCTCCCTTCTCCTTGCCTGACATGCAATGCGACTTCCAAAATAGCACACCGGTCGGAAAGGAGACCATGACATTCAAGTGTGGTCTGCCTCTTATGTCAGTCCAGCCATCAAGCTGGAGCATGCATCGGGTTCGAGCCCAACTTCTCTGCTGCCGCAAAACCCCCTCCTCGACCCGCGCCCGGGACATATCCAACCTCTTCGTCCGCTGCGTGTCATATTTTACGGGGATGAAGGACCGCTCCGCGTCGCGGACCTTCTCTATCATGCGCAAGAAATACTTGCTGCGCACCATGTTGAAGGGGACTCCTCCATAAACCAACCAGTCGTCTATAGAGCGTTGTGCTTCCTCGTTCTTAGAGATTATCGCCCCGCCCTCTTCCAGCGTAGTCTGCCACACATTAGTGGTGGTGAAAAGACATGCGTTGACCCTGTTTTGAGGAGGTTGGGGCCTGCTGCTTTCCTCCTCGCCCTCCGGTTCGTACGTGCCCTCGACGTCAGAGGGGCAATCCTGTGACAGTGCCGGTGGCACAGCCTTTCCAAGCACCAGCGCAATTCCCTCCAGCCGGCCCAGCTCCCTCTTCTCTCTTTCCTCCGCTGACAGCCTACCGCATAGCCTGTTCATGTTGCACCTGGGCCCTTTTGTCGTGGACTTGAAGTGCTCTGCACAGCGCTTCGCGGTCCTAGGGAACACCAGTTCGCAGTACCGACATTTCCAATTGTAGTTCCCTTTCCCTGGCTCCCCATGCACGCCAAGTTTCTCAAAATGGCGCTTGATCGCCTCTGCACCTGCTTTAGGCATCCTGAATATGATGGCGGCGACAATGCAGCAGACAGCAAGGAAGGGCTGTCAGATCAATTGAAAACCCGGATGGGGGGTGGGGTAGAGTCGTTCTTTGCAGTAAAAAAAAAAACAAAAAAAATGGACAGCATTTCGCCACCCCCCATGGGGCTGAGCATTCTGAATACGTACGTATGGGGGGGTAAAGTAGATCTTTGCCGTGAAAAAAAAAAAAACAGAAAAAATTGGACAGCATTTCGCCACCCCCCATGGGGTTGAGCATTCTGAAAACGGTACGTATGGGGGGTAGAGTAGATCTTTGCCGTTAAAAAAAACAAAACAAAAAAAAAAAGGATAGCATTTCGCCACCCCCCATGGGGTTGAGCATTCTGAATACGTACGTATGGGGGGTAGAGTAGATCTTTGCCGTAAAAAAAAAAAAAAAAAA